ACCACCCCTCCCCGCAGTGGTGGAGCTGTGCCTGACCCACGGCCTGGGCCCGGTGGCGTTGGCCAACGAGCTGTTGGCCTTTGTCACCAGCAAGAACTTCGGCGTTGAGCTCTCCAGCAACAGCCTCGACACCTTCGAGCACGAGGTGGGGGGTCCCCAATATCCCCATCACCCCCAGGAGAAGCCAGTGGGTGATGACACTCACCCCTCTTCCTCCTCCTCTTCCTGCTCCAGGTCCTCATCAAGCGGAGCAGCAGAGCCTCCCAGAAGAGGGACAACCGCTACAGCGTCCTCCACGACGTCCACTCTCTCCAGGAGCTGTATCCCAATGGATTTGGGGTGGTTCCTATAAAGAAACAGGGCGTTAAGTTGTTCCCCCTTCTACTTAAGGGGAGGAATTAACAGCTTGGGGGGTGTTGGGGGGTGTCCCCCCCTAAACAAGAGCTTTGGGTGCTCATTAACAAGCCGATAGCCTTGACGAGGAAGAGGAGGATGAGCTGCTGGATGCCTACACCACACCATCCAAGGTGTGCACCACCACCTTCACCCCCAAACCTGCCCCCGCCTGCCTCAAACCCTGCACCAAAACCTTTATGGGTGTATTTTCCTCCAGAATTCCCAGAAACGCCCCAATTCCACACCGGAGACGCCACGGCCCAAGCGGAGCCTCTCTTCCCGCAGCCCCTACGCGCTTTTCTCCCCCAGCAGCTTCTCCCCAAGGTAACCCCCTGAGAGCGGGGCCAGAGCGGGGTTGTCCCCTCACTCTGCCTGTTGTCCCCCTCACTCTGCCTGTTGTCCCCTCAGTGTCACCCCCTCGCAGAAGTACAGCGCACGCAGCAGCCGCGGCGAGGTGGTGGCTTCCTTCGGCTCCAGCCAAGGTCCCTCCTGGAGCGGGCGCGGTGGCCGCGGTTGTACCCTGCGACTCTTCGGTTCTCCGGAGGAAAACTTGACCAAAAGCTACAAATTCATGTTCCAAAAAATATTTACCATCCGGGAAGGTGACGCCTGGAAGCGGGGTGGGATGTGGGGAGGTGACCCCCCAACCAGTGGGGTGTAACCAACGCCTGTTCTCACCCCGTAGTGTTGTTGTGGAGGATCGAGGAGCTCGGCGACGCACTCAAGAGTCACCATCACCTCGAGGACTTCGCCTCCGTGTCGCTCCCGGCACAGGTGAACCCGTCAGCACCATTCCGAGGGCGTCCTCGTGGTGGTTTTGGGGTGAAACCAACTGGTTTGGGGCTGCTGTTGGCCCACAGGAACCAGTGACCATGCTGGGCCAGATCAGCTGCGATGCCAACGGGAAGCTCAACGCCAAGTCCGTGGTGCTGGAGGGTGACCAGGAACACTCCTCCGGTGGCCAAGTCCATCTGGACCTCTCGGAGCTGAGGGAATATTCCCTTTTCCCAGGCCAGGTGGGGTTTTGGGGGGCCGGGACCCCCCCAGGCCTTCCTCACCCCACTTCTCCTCACCTCTGGTTGCTCCCCTGCCTGCAGGTGGTGGCGCTGGAGGGGACCAACAGCACCGGGAGGAGGATGATGGTCTCTAAACTCTATGAGGTGATGGGGGAGTCCCCCCAGTGGGGCTGGTTTTGGGATGAAAAAGGGAGTTTTGAGGCAACTGATGGTTTCTCCACAGGGGGTGCCGCTTCCCTTCCATATGCCGCCGGAGCCGGCCTCAGGTGAAGCCAAACCCACCTTTTTCACCCCCCAGAATGCCTTTTTTCCCCCCAAACTCCCACTTTTTGTCCCCCAACCCTCCTGTTTTGTCCCCTCAAGCCCCATTTCTGTCCTTCAACCCCCCTTTTGTGTCCCATTTTATCACCCACCCCCCTTTTTGCCCCTCCAGACCCTGGTTTTTGTCCCCAAACCCCTAATTTTGCCCCCCTCAAACTCCCTTCTGTCCTTCAAACCCCCTTTTCTGTCCCCCAAACCTCCTTTTTGCCCCTCACTCCCCTTTTTTACCCCCCAAACCCTTCATTTTGTCGCCCCAGACCCCAAAACACCCCTCTTTATCCCCTCAAACACCCCTTTTTGCCCCCTA